ACATTCCTTTTTTAAAACTTGACATCATGTAACATCCTCTTTACTTTTCTGACAATAAATTCATAGATAAGATGATCAAAATACACATTTTATTGGAAGAAAAAAAACAGAATTAATCCCAGGATATACATTTTGTAAATACATAATTGTTTAGTTGTAACTCACAGAGACATAATAGTCAAGTGTGTCAGCTAATTTTAGGTTTACCCCGACTATACGAGCTGCAGATGCAGACTGATATAGGTGTCTTCTAACAGTGGTGCAAACATTAAGAGTAGCTTTGCTATTGGTGACATTAAAACTATGTCAGATAGTTTTAAAACTTGCAGATACTTATAAAAGAGAAAAATCTTTCCCCATAATTGCTTCATTCCTGGAAAACTGAGTGTATATTAAAATCTTTCCAAACTAGTTCATGAATTGATAAAGCTGAGTTCTAGACCTTCATCACTATAAATAGATTTTTCACTACAGGAATATGTGGACGGGTACTAAAAAGTCATGCCTTATTCTGGCAATTCTTGAAGGTATGAACTGTATTGTGCATTTTAGGATGTATATAGCTCTAATCCTCTCTCTAAACCTCAGCTGAGCGCTCCCTCAATGATGTAACTGCCAAAATAAGTCCTCTAGGAGAAGGTATTGATGCCATGGGGAATGCTCACCAATACAAGCCACTCAAGTCTGTAATTATTTACAGAGCTTCTTTTTTTTTTTTTCAGAGCTTCTTTTAAGTTATATTATTGGAGGAACTTGAAAATCCCAATTAAAATGAAAGAAAAATCCATTTAAAGAGACTGATGGATTCTCAAAAAACAGTGAGCATCAATATAATCTGTGTTATCCTTTATCTATCCTTTACCATTTGTCTAAATGATAACTTCAAAATTTGGGTGATTTATAACAACAAATAAAATAATTTTATCTATATAGCTATATCTATAGATTTACGCTCAGTTAAAGGCTCTGGAGACAGCAGGGTTTCTGCTAGGTTGGGTTAACGTGGCTAAAAGTCAGAATTATCATCACTGGTATGGCCACTACTGCTGGAGAAAAATTTTCTTATTTTGAATATCACTAAGCAGCTTCTGATATAGCATCCGTGGCGAGACAGTCTAATCAGCATAGCTGAGAACAACATTTTAGTGCGAAGGGAGATTGTGAACATGAGTTTCTACATTTTTATCTTATTTCATCTGACTCTGCCCCCAAGAGTAGGTGTTTTGAGTCAATTTGTGTATGTCACGCTGTGTAACAGACAACCCTCAAAATCTCAACAGTTTAAAAAACCAAAACATCCCCCCCCATATACATGAGTTGTACATTAGTGTACATTAGTAGAGGGTTCAGCAGTCATAATCTATGTAGAGTCTGGGTGGTTAGAGTAGCTGCCAAAAATTGCTTTTCACTGTGTCAGAGACAGAAAACTTGATAGATGGCTTTTTCAATTGCCAGGTGACCATGATAAAGTTCACTTCCAATCTCATGTTATTTGCCAAAGCAAATCAAATGACACACCTAATTCTAAGGAGGGTGGAGAGTCTCCACATGTATCCAGAAGACTCTGGAACTAGATAGTGTACTGAACTGATGACAAGCATGATGGAAAATTTCCCAAATATAGTAAGAGAGCTCAGGTGTTGGGCAACCAAAAACCAAGAAGATAAATGTCCACGAGAGACTGTCTTATTTATAAGTTTTCTATATGTCACCATGTTCAGTCCAACTTAGTAGCTAATAGTAACATTCTGTTGTGTGACAGTCTGGTGAATAAAAGGATATGAATATGGTTGGTTAAAGTACCTAGTCTCACTATAATTGAAGCTTAAAGAGAGTGAGTTTTAAATTTTAACTTCACACAGTACAGCATTTGTGTACAATGCTACAATGCCGCATTTAGAAAGACTGAGAACCAGGGTGGCTCACTGGAAAGAGACAGATAAAGATGCTTCATCTTCATAATGCTTTTTTTCAATATCATTTTCTCAATAATCAATATCTATTGTTGATTTCCCTGAAAGTGACAACACTTTCTCCTGTGTCTAGTAGAGTTCAGACATCGCAGAAATTCAATAAAATAGTTCTGCTACCATCAGTTGTGTAGTTTGTGGAAATGACATCAATTTAACCGGGTTCTTCAGTTGCATGTCATATTCTACGGATCTCCTAGACTGTGGAGAGCAATACAATGCTATGTTTGTGCTTGTCTTACGAAGTATTTTCAGCCCAGCACCTGCCACAAAGTAAGTAACTAAATAGGGGTTTATTAACTTTACAGCAGTAACTATTTGCTAGATTCTTATGCCGGAAGAGGGTATCTAGGATCGCATGCAGTACATTTGAAGGTTTGCTCAGGATGCTGGGATGAGGAATTTTGGGAACCTGCTACCCAACCCATCAAGCACACTCCATGCCCTTCCTCTTCATCTCTCAAAGGTCAAACCCTTCACAGCTGGCAAAGGGCTCCAGATCTGACATTCCTTTCCTCACGCACCACGGCCCCTCCCACCAGCCGTCAGCCAACTGACTCTTGCTCCGCCTCCCAGGCTGATCCTCCAATCAGCTGCCCCGGCCGGGCCCAACCCTCGAGGGTCACGTGACACGGCC